CATTCTTGCCAAGATCTTCAACGATCTTCCATTTCCTTGCCAAGATCTTTAAGGATCTTGACAGGAAAATGTGAGATCATGGCAAGAAAATGAAAGATCCCTGAAGATCTTGGCAAGAAAATGAAAGATCCTTGAAAATCCTGGCAAGAAAATGAAAGATCCTCCAAGATCTTGGCAAGAAAATGAAAGATCCCTGAGGATCTCAGGAAGAATTTCGAAGATCTTCAAAGATTTTCCAAGGGTCATCATGAAGATTCTCAAGAGGATCCTCAAAGGTCCTCATGAAGATGTTGCCGCCATGTTACAAGCTGTTTTGTGTTGTTCTGTGTTACGGAAAAATTCATTTCGCCCTGTTGGAAAAAATCTGTAAGCAGTAAATTCACTGCATATTTCGTTAAGCAATTAACCAAATAAGGCAAGTTGTCAAACAAAATGTAACTTATCTTTGATTGAATATCTTAAAACTCTGCTGGAGGTGTCGAATCAAGATATAGGATGCTGTCTAAATAAAGCGACACAAGTGTTGCCTTTTAGGATGTTTTCAATTCCTTTATATTCATTCCTACTCCTACTCGCTTGGTGCCCCTCAGCCTGTGGACATCTTCTAGCAACATGTTCGTCCGGCATGACTGTTTCAAATGTCCAGAGTGGGGTGATAGAGATCACTGGCTCACTATCCATCAACAACTATCTGCAGCTATCTTGCGTTTTGAAGCTGGGCAAACCCGGAAACTTTTTACGCATGAAAACTAAAAGGAATGACAAGAAGAAAGGTGAGGGCATAACCAGTTTGATAGAGTGGTCTTATCTACTTCTAGGAGAGCGAAGGTTTGTTGACTTTTGGTTGAAATGAAGATACAAAATCTCTCTTTCCATATTGATTTCATTCCCTGATTATTCTTCAGTAATCTGAAAGTGTTTTTGACATTTCCGAAAGTGGCAGCTCCCATCAATTCAGGACTTTGCAGCGTTTCCTGAAGCAATTCACCGTCTGCTTGAATAGACTGGCAGGCAAGCGAGCTGTTAGGGTAAACATTAGCCCCACATTAGAAAGCTCTTTTCATCTTCTATTTTGGTAGTTGTTGATGTATTCATGTGCTAGATTATCCCTTTTATTTTTAGGTTTCTTGCACATATCTTTGTACCACCAAGGTGAGTCGTCTCTACTTGGTTACGTGGAGGTTTCAGAGCCAACACCAGTTTGGAACACAATAAGCATTTGTCCAACTGTTTTGACCAATAATAAAACCACAGAGGGGAGGTTGTTATCAGTGGTGGGAAAAGGCATTGGACTTTCTTTCACAGTGCAAATAGCCGAAGGTGCATCAGAAATTGCGCTTGATCAACCACTCACAGTCGATGTCCAAGGAGATGAGGTGAGCATGTTCCAGTTCATTCCACCTAAAGGAATCTCTGATAAACAACTGGACATCACTGCTACGTCTGAATCAAAAGTTGCTGCCTATTTGAAGGTATCGCAGAACTGTAAAGAGGTCGATCTCCAGGAAGACCTAGAGAGCATAGATTACAAGAAGGAATCTCTTCGACTTTCCTTTGCAAGAAAAGGACGTATAACTTTATCCAGAGTTTCCATTCCCCCTCTGACCGATTCCGTCTCCGGATGGTTCATTGGAATTGGTCTGAAGAACTTATCAGGTGACGTCAAGCTTAGTGAGTCAAAAAATGTCACTTTAAAGCTGACAAGGTCGTTTGATTATAATTATGCCACGCCTATTTGTGTCCTATTTTTTGTATCATTTCTGGTCGGTATATTAGTGTCTATCTTTGCGTATTTTCTCTTCGAAGAGTCTCTTACCAAGGTCAAGGTTGGTAAAGGTAAACCGGGCGATGATAATGTTGAGTTAAAAATTTCATGTTGCGACCTGTGGGAGGTAATCATAGATCACTGGTTTTCCTTTGGTCCAAAGACCTATTCCTATCTCACAGGTATTGTGGGTGCTGTGCTTATGGTAGGCGCTTTTCAGTTCGTGTTTGCAAACTGGGATACGATGATTCAGGAAGGGGACAGAGACAATTGTTACTACAACGACTTTTGTTATAGAGTTGCAAATCATGATATTCCGTTTAACTTGATGATAAGTAACTTGACTTACATAGTCCACGGCCTAATCTTAATTGTGTGGGTACTGATACTGGAAACCAAGGTGAATCTTCGTTGCAAAAGCAGAGCC